CGCCATCCCTTCCTCCACCACGCCCACTAAAACCGCCATCCCTTCCTCCACCACGCCCACCAAAACCACCGTCTCTCATTCCACCTCGACCACCTGAATCCCAGCGCGTGTTACGAACACCGCCATTATCCATACCTGGATCACCACCTCTATCCTTGGCAAAGTATGGGGGGGCAGTGCGTTGAGCCATCTCTCTTATTTGTGGAGGCACAATCTGATTAGCACCGTCCAGAAGTTTCACAAGATCAGCAGCATATTTCCAGTCTTGATCTGAGAAAAAAGTGTATGCAACACCTGTTGCGCCTGCTCTCCCGGTCCTCCCTATTCGGTGAACGTAATCCTCTACCCCAGTTGGAAAATCATAGTTTATTACTACCCTGCAAAAATAACTCTCAAATAACACTATAAGAAAAATGATGTCATAACATCGATGGGAAAAAATCAGACAAGCTACAAGGAGAGTAATGATTCATGTAAATCAACAACAGGTCACAATTTTATAATGACATGTGTAGTCAGATGAAAAAATGATTCACCTTACATCCCGTACATCAAGCCCTCTTGCAGCAACATCAGTTGCAACTAAAATTGGGGTCTTCCCAGATTTAAATTGATTGAGGGCCCAGTCCCTCTCAGTCTGTGACTTGTCACCATGAATAGTAGTAGCACCAAAGCTACGCCCAAGGCTTCGTGCAAGTTGGTCACACAATCTTTTGGTGGAGCAGAAAATTATGATTTTAGAGCCTCGCTCATGGGCTCGAAGAATTTGCTCCACCCGTCTCTGCCTCTCTACTACTGGAACTAGTTCAATATACTGCACAAGCCATTGGCATTATGTGATCGCTGCAGATAATCATTTACATCTACTTCGATAGTAATGAGAGGATTGTCTGGAGAGTAGAATTTCACTTATTCATTGAAAAATAATCCCTCCGTTCCGTAATAAGGGTCCTGTTTCCTAACACATTTTTGTTCCAATGATCCAATTCAATGACAAGATATAATTTTCAATGCTATACAATATTTTTTTAATAAAAAAAGTATGTCAAACGACTTAAACACGCTAAATTTAGTTATACCAACAACAAATTAAAATATAATTGCTTTTGATGATTTCTACAAGCTGTGCATTAATAAAATTAAACATTTGTACATTTGTGAAATTTGACTCTTGTTATGGGAAAGAGTGCAGAAAATTACTCACGGGTGACGAGAGTTTTGTTGAAATAACTCCTAGGTCCCTCTATTTTCAAAAAGAGGGCAGAGGTCCTTACATTTTGCTGTAAAGACTGGAAGGAGACATTTCATCCAATATTTCATCTATAAACGTTAATAAATGTATTTTTTCCCTATTCTTTTCTAAATGTTTTAAGGTAATAAATCTTAGTTCGCTCCTTTTTTTATTTCTTTGTTTTTCTTTCATTTTGTTACTAATTTTTAAAGTGTTATTTTTGAATTTCTTCTATAAAATTGTATAAAAATTCAAAATTGTTAGTATTATATTAAAACTATTGAAATTAAAAAATTTTAAAAAAAGAAAAAACGAGGTAATGGCAAAATAGGAAAAAACGGTATTGGAAAAATACGAAAAAAATGCATTTATTTACACTTACGGATGATGTATTGGATGAAATGTCCCCTCCCAGTCATTACAACAAAATATAAGGACCTCGGTTGTCTTTTTGAAAATAAAGGGACCTGAAAGTTATTTCGACAAAACTCGCGTCACCCGCGAGTAATTTTCTGGAAAGAGTGAGTAATACATTTTTAATTACCAAAATCAAGGTTATCTATCAAGTGAAAATGCTATCGTTCTGTTTAAATCCTGTTTCAAGGGGTCAGGGGGGGATAACCTTGTAATTCACTTATTAGAATCTACTAGGTAGTGTATTCTCCTATTCGAAATCCCAGAATCAAAGTCACTTGAATCACCTGAGTGATGGACTTGTTGGCTTCAAGCTCATTGACACTACCAATGTTCACTTGGACTGGATCTCGAAGCAGATCATTAGCTATTACTCGGACCTCCTTGGGCCATGTTGCTGTGTACATTAGTGTTTGTCTGTTCGGAGGTATGAAATTCACAATCTTACGAATCTGAGGCTCAAAACCCATGTCCAGCATTCGGTCAGCTTCATCAAGAACCAGAAGGGAAACTTGACGAAAATCAATCCTCTTCATCTCAAGTATATCATTGAGCCTTCCTGGTGTTGCCACGACAATGTCTGCTCCCCGCTCCAGTTCTTTTAATTGGGGACCCTTTGGGGCACCACCATACAAGCACTGAAACGACAAAGATGAATCTATTATTTGTTGCCGAAAAATATATTACACAATGGGTCATCAATTGTCAACTTACTGTGCAAGAAACCCTTGACGATCGTCCAAACTTCAATGCTTCATCCTGTATTTGTGTTGCAAGCTCACGCGTTGGAGATAAAACCAGTACAGTCGGTCCATTCTGAGGATTGTTACGTCGTCGTGAAAGCTGGATAAATGCAGGAATAAGATAGCCCAATGTTTTGCCAGATCCTGTCTTGGCAATGGCCACAATATCCCGATTTTGTAGTGAAATTGGCCATGTTTGTGCTTGGATTGGTGTGGGAGAAGTGAATCCAGCAAAACAAAGCTGCAGGAAAATTATAAACATAATCCATACCAACAAAACATAATGTGGAGAACACTCTAGGACGTGCATGGATAATATTAGAAATACAAGCCTGAGATTTCAAAAATGGATCCAAACTTTGAGAACGATTAAATAATAATAATAAACTAAATTGAAAAATGAACAAGGATCCAAAAAGAAGTTTGAAGGAATGCAGCTGCTTACAGAAGCAACTCAAGGCAACAAAATAGAGCAATTAAAACAGAGGATGCAGAGCCAATAAGCTAGAAATCCCAGTCACATATATTGTTATTTGGATGAAGGGCCAACTACCCTTCAAGAAGCTATGCAAGAGGCTTCAACTATCCACTTTGCAGCCTCAAAAAAACTCAATATACTGGTTGTGGAAGTGTATGAGCATTTCATAGCAATACAGCGTACGACATGTGCTCCTCCTCCGGAGCAGATATCGCACCTGCGACAAGTGACAACTGTTAAGCTCAATGCATCTATAAAATATAAATATTACACAGATCCAGAAAGAGTTGAAGAGTCACTCTAGCGCAGTAGGTCTGGTCTGTAGGTCCAATGTCAAGGATAGTACACTTACATCTCTGAGTATTTCTGGAGGAAAACCAGTAGCCTCAAATGTGATGAATGGATCCGGAACGTTTTCACCCTAGATAACAGAATTGTAGGGAATCAATGTCAATTGGAAAAATAAACTGAATCCAAAGGAGGATGAATCGTAGACTTCAAGAGATGAAAGCAAAGTGACTTTAAACACACGGATCACTATCTGTAACAGCTTTGAAGTTTAAACATTAAAGAGAACATAGCAAGATCCAAGTACGTGCAAAATCATGTATTTCTCATAACATGCTAAGATTGTAAACTAAATCACAAGTAATAAAGTGAATGAAGGTGAAATGATAAAATGATGTGGGGAGATCAAAATAAATATCACACTGGAAATAGCGTTTGAGCATTACGATTCTAAAAGCTTAAGCCATACAACTCAGTAAACCATAGAGAATGCATTCCATAGTGCCTTCCTCATGAGCTAGCTACATAGGAATCAACCTTTGTCATACTATCTACAACCTGATACCCCTCATACAATCCCAGCTCAATTAATGATGAGCAACATTAAAATATACAAAGCATTGACGTGATAGAATACACGGTATTAAATAATACAAACCATTGTAGTGATTTCATGTTTTTTACGATAATCCTCAGCGTCCGGATGTCCCATAGAAGTTGACGGGGGGCGCATTTGGGCGATTGTTGAAAACGGGGGTCCACCGCCACTGGTTGCTTGACCATAAATATTATGCAATGGTGGACCTCCAGAATTATTATATCCACCAGGATATCCTTGTGCTGAATTCTGAATTGCTTGGTCAGCGGTCCTCATTTCCTAATAAGAATACAAAAATGCAACATAAAAAATCATTCTTATAGTCTTAGTCATAGGAACAACATCAACAACATCAATCCAGTTGGATCCCACGAGAGTAAGGTCTGGGGAGGGTGTGTGCATGCATACATTCTCCCTCCTCGAAAGCAGAGAGGCTTTTTCCAAGAGGTCATAGAAACAAAATAAATGAAATAAAGGCAGATATTTCCTGGAAAATAAATCAAATGCAAGCAAACTACAAAATGTGCAAAACACAATTGATCAATCACACACTAATAGTTATTCAAGAGAACAGAGGCACAAAGTCAAGGCACAAGGTTATGTCAACAATAGTTATTGATAAAAAAAATTCAAAAACTTTTAGCAAAACATGAATAATAAAGCAAAAGAAAATATGACTATGTTGTATTTCAAAGCAAAAGATAATATGACTATGTTTTATTTTAAAGCAAAAACTAATAGAGATGTGCATATGTACAATTGTACATAACAGTAAACAAAACTGAGAAATTGTAATATTATAATATTAATAATAATAATAGCAACAAGATCGCCAAAGGCATTGTTGCCAAGTGGCATAATTGTGGCTCTCCCAATTGGGAGGTCACAAGTTCAACCCCAGCACGGGCATTGACTCTATGTGCTTTCTCTGTGCTTCACTAAGTTGGGAAAGTATGTATGATCGCATACTATATTGTAATAGAGTCAATAGTACTCCTAAAAAATAGTAACGCTGAGAATAATAAAAACTAAAGAAGATGAAGATGAAGATGAGAATGGAGGTTCAGTGCTTGGATGTTGAAAGACATGTTGATCAAAGGAAAGGCGTGGAACAAGGGTTGATCAAAGAGGGAAGTAATGTAGTATATGGTCAATCGGGCAGCCTAATTTACCCTAGATGGTCTTTTCCCAGTTTTTTATTTAGAATAAAGCATTGTCAGTTTGTCACTATGTGTTAGGTCAGACAGGGTTTGTGTACCCCTGCCCTGCCCCCAGGCCCCACGTGAGGGGCTTTACCGGGTAGGTTTTTGGTGTACTATGGCATCGTGTGATTGAGGCACACCTCACCTACGCAAAAGGCACTAATGCGTGCCTAGGCATGTGTCTTTCATTTATCGCCCACTATCTTTCACAACTATGCATGCACTCATTTTTTAAAAAGAGCAAACTACCAACCAAAATGTGGTATATGTAAACATGGAGGTGTGGACTCCATTGACACTGAAACTGAAAACTTACATGCTGAGATCTTGCATGGGGTATGGCTGCAAGCATGGGATGTGAAGCCTGAGGAGGCATGGCATGGACGTCCTTGATAGGATTCTCATAAAACTTATTCCCTACTTTTCCATGTAAGTTTTCTTCATATCCTACATTAGATCCAGGTGGTGGCACATTTAGCTGAGGACCATGTGAAGACACTGGACCCATCTGGCTTTGGAACCGGGGAGCATGTTGGTAGTGTGCTGAATCTGACCCGCTGTGCGACCAATGTACTTGAGATGCTGGCTGCTGCATATTAGCAGAACCACTATATTGCATTGGTTGAGACGGTGGTCCAGCCATGGGATTGGGTGCAAGAGTTGATGACTGGCTAGATTGCTGAAAGGGCATTGGTGAAAACCCCATTTGTTTTCCTTGTGGAATTTCTGCATCCTCCCTCTGACTGAACTCTATGTTGTGCTCTTGTTGGTGGGGAAAATGCTTGCCTTGCAAAAGATGATGCTTCTGCTGCTCTGGAACACTTTGGGCTTGGGAATTCATGTTCTGGTGACTATACAAACCATGTGATGTCTGGTGCTGAGTAAATTGAAAATCTTGATGTTTTCCTGCCTGCATTCCTTGAAATGGCTGCACTTGCTGGACCTGTGGCTGAGTAAAGTGCTGCAATGGCCCTGGCTGCACCATAGGCATTTGGTGACTTGCCTGTTGCATTCCATAAGGCCTAACATGGTGCAACTGTTGTTGCATCGTAGGATTTACATGTGAACCCTGCTGCTGTCCAGCTGAAACTTGTGAGGGACCCTGTTGTGGCTGCTCTTGTTTCAAGCTCTGGCCGATGTGAGGGCTTTGCTGCTGGCCTTGCGCATCACTTGGTTGAACAGAAGTAGCCCCGGGTATCGGAGCAAGTTTGGGAGTAGGGGGAGGCAGACCAGGTGGCAGCGGAGGAGGAGCTGCCGAGGGCTTCTCATATTGTGTAACATTAGTTTCAGGATTCCAGTAGTACATTAATCCAGTATTTCCATCAATTAAACCCTTCCATGGTTGGGGGAGGGTTGGATCATCGGGTGCATAGCGTGGTCCAACTGAAGATGTTGCAGCCTCAGCCGTTGCCATGCTGAACAGAACAGCTGCTCAAAGAAACTGCCACGATCATTATTAATAACAGCACTAGAACTCGTAAAAAACATATGAAAGTAATAATTTTGAGATCATAGTAAGGGTATCCGAAGTAAAAATCAATAAGATGCCTACCTACAAAGCACAATACACCAAACCTAGTGAGAAATCGCGGGTTGGATCTCACTGGGAAAAGTATATGACAGTCCAACTTGAGTATCGTTGACCAGATACGAGGTCAAAGGCCCCGGACACGTCCGGGATACGCCGGCGATGCAACCAGGCTTCGTTTGGAGTGGAGTTTATTTTCCGGCAGACTACACCAGCCGGAGTAAGGGCGTCTTGATTGTGTCTTTTTTGCAAGAAATAGGCAGATATGAGTCGGGTTAGAGGATCGGTTGCGGTACCTGGTTTCAAGGAGATTGATTGGCTTATTTCAGCAGATGGGTGGAGGCCGGCGGCGAGAGGGCAGCTACCGCAGAGAGATGCTCAGATCCGCTTACCACAGTTGGGAGCGGCACTTGATTTCGGCAAGTATTTCTTCGATTAGGGTTCGTCCCTGGAATTTTATAAAGTGGGATTCTTTGATTGACTTATGAGAATGAACTCTAATAGGTCCCTCAAAACTCTTCTTGATTCTATTTTTTTTAAATAATTACACTCTTTGACTATAAAATATAAATTATAAAAAAAATATTAAATTATATTAATATGTATAAATTTAATAGAATTGAGTTCATCTTAGAATATATTGTTTTTATATCTCAAACTTTTGTAACAATTATTTAACTAAATTCATACTCGTGCATTACACGACAATAAATTTATTCCAAAATATAAAAAATGATAGTTTCATACTCCCCCCGTCCCACTTTATATTACAATATTCCCTTTTAGTTGAAATTAAGAAAGAGTCTAATCAAAATTTTTTTTCCCCAAATTACCCCCTAAATCCCCCCAAATAGTGTGAATAGTGGCTGGCAGAAAAGAAAAGGGGAGGGTAAAAGAGTCAAATCACTATAAAGTTATTGACTTTGTAATCCTTTTTGGGACAAAAAATGTGAAGGAATATTGTAATCTATTTCGGGACGGAGGGAGTAATTTAAATGTATAAACCTAAATTTTAATTTTGAATATAAATGTATACTCAACATAAATTACATTTATATTCACAACCTTATTCTCGGACTTAGAGCCACTACCTACGGCCATGACTCAAGTCTACCTTATTCGACACGTTACAATACAACATGACTTGACCAACAAAGGAGTTCTCCGTTGGGTGGGTGGTACCATGTCCCCTTCGGAACAATAGTTTATGGATCCTGTACATACGTTTTAACCCGTAGTCGCCAGATATCATATCCGCAAGGCTGATTTTACCTATTGACATTTACATTTACAATCTTACCAAAATAGTCCTAGAGTTTCTCTAGATAGCCTATTATTTATTTACAACATCTCTATAATTCAAACTTATTCCAATAGCAATCTCAATTCGTCCTTTACTTTTAAAACACAACAGGATTTGATAGTTGAGTTTTAGCAAAAGTCAACATTCCCAATGAAGGGTCAGTTTTCTCCAAGTTTCGTGTCTCTCGAGGAGTGGACAAAGGGAATTAGTTAATTTTTCTAACTAGAAGAAGGTTAGGATGGTTTGAAAGTCTTCTCGATTTGATTTAGAAATAAAAATACTACACTAGCTCCAGATTGAATGCGAGGTTCACGCCGCCCATGGCGTCCGGGTGGTGAAGCCTAAACGAGTAGCCAAGAAGATCGCGCATAGGAACCAACTCTGAGTCCTTGATGATGGAAAATTCGGGTTGTCAGAGCTTTGGATTAGTGGATTTGGAAGACATGCTCAGAAATTTGGGAAGAGAGCTGAAATTTGGAGGCGGAGATTTCTCCAACGTTGGATTGAGAATAAAACGGGAGTGAGAGGATGGACGGCCAGAGAGATGAGCTTATAGACGTTATGACACGGAACTTGAACAAGGAGTGGGATCGTTTTCGATCCGGCACGAGATTCGAAGGTGGCTCATCATTAGTTTCTTAGTGACACGTCACTTAGAAACTAGGGGCTTGTGATGGATATAGGGTTGTTCACATTTAGGTCCAGATCGAAAAAACCGATTGAACCGGATCGTTAGGTCCAGACCGAACCCAGACCATCGATGGTAACTTTCTCCCATCGATGGGTGTTTGACACTTCTTTTTTAAAATCGTTTTAACGGATTTCCAGTAGCCACCCTCCCATCGATGGGTGAGTTTGACCATCGATGGGAAGGCAGCCCTGTTTTCTTCTCGCTTTCCAGTAGCGCCCTTCCCATCGATGGGAAGATCTACCCATCGTTGGGAAGGCTGGAAAAATTCAAAATTTCTAAACCGTTGAAGACATCATTTAAGGCCCAACAGCTATTTTTTTCAAATTCAAACGGAAATCCACCCTCTCCCTATATATTTGCTTCACCCTTGGTCATTTTAACACACCTTTTTCACATCAAAATCCCCTCTTTTACATAATTCTTCAATTTTTTCTTTTTTTTTTGCTTCAATCATGGCCGGAGGAAAGAAGACAAAGGCTTCGAAGAAGAAGGTCACCACCGAGGCTACGTCATCTGTGCCTCAACCCTTCCCTTATCTCGACGGTTCCTTCTTGGAGTTCGGGTCAGAAGAAGAACTCACACGCTTCATCACCTACTTCACCAAGCGCCCGATCTCTCCGCCCCGCGTGCTCCCGGAGCTGTACCCTCAACAAAAGGGGTACCACGACCTCGACAATCAACTCAAAGAGTCGGGTCTGTGGTCGTTCGTCTCCAGAAGCCGTCAATCCTTCAATCCCGCCTACGTTCGGGCTTTCTACTCCAATCTCCGCCGGGACGGGGACACTATTCGCAGCAGCATCAATCTCGTGGACTTCGAGTTTTATTTGGCTCCCTTTGCCAGGATCGCAGGTTTGCCCACTCGCGGTGACGACATCGCGACTTATGGTGGCGATGATTGGATCCTCAACAACGAGGCGGTGGTCATCCGAGAGCTGGGAATCACCAACCTCGTCCGTCACATGAACAACCCTCGATGGATATCGGGACCTTGGAGAAAGCCCAATGAGGTCCAAATGTGATTTCGAGACCTAACAAAAATAGAGCCCAAGTCCGAAGCAGGAGGAGAGGCCGAAGCCCAAGGAACAAACAAAGTGATGGGCCGAGTCTGGCCCAAAGAGGTGGATTAAACATGGTGTAAGAGGGAAAAGTGATTCCCCAAATCGTGGAATTCAGGACCTATTGATGACTGATTCTCCGCCACGATTGATGCATGATAGTTGATTTAGCGATAATGTAGCGCACGAAATTGCATACCTTGTATACGATAGAATTAGACTATAAATAAGAGGTAAATCCTCCAGCGTAACTCAAGCTGAATCTAAATAGTACAAGCCTAAGATAATTCTATATTTCATCTATATTCTTGTTATTTTTATTTAGTTCTTCGTTCCACCATAGTCGTTGGTTTGAAATCCCATCAACTTTGTACAAATATTTTATTTCAATTTTATTTGTCATTTTCTTTCGTAACATTCCACGAAAAAATTGTTTTGAAAAATAAATAAATAAACATTTTTTATTTGAGATAAAGAGCACATATTTTATTTTACTTATTTGTATAAACAAAGAAAAAATGAAAAAAAGTAAAAGAAAGAGCATAAATATCTAATTAACTTTGAAAATAGGCTAGGCTATGTGCACCTTTTAAAAAGCATAAGGATTTTATAAATAATTTTTGAAAATAAAGTGGGTTTTAGTGCCTCTCATGTACACCACAACACCATACCCCGCTATTAAGAAATTATCCTAAATAGAACATTTATCCTAAAAATAGAAGTTTCATATTTTTATCGCAAAATAGAAGTTTGCACGATAACATTACAACACTGTATAGTGACATTTCACTGTGTTTTAAGAAATAACCCTAAATATCTATATCTATATCTATCTATACTATTCTTAAAAGCAGGAGAAATTCTGCAAGCCTTTTTCCCGCCCAAACAATTAGCTATTAATGGTAAGAACTTAAATAGCCTTGAAATATTTTTTTGGTAATATATATTACCTTTTATGCATTTAATTATAGAAAATATTGCTACATAATTACCTTATATAGCTTTTATTTAATGTCAATTTAATCACGGAAACATTTTTCAAAAATATAATACCTTTTATACGTTTAATTGTAAGAAAATGTTTTTACATTATTACCTTATACAACTTTTATTTAATATGGATTTAATTATATAAACATTTTTACGGTAATATATTAATATAACTTTTATGGAGGAAATATGTTTTTGTTAGGTGCGTACTATGTTAAAATAATAACAGAAATACTAATGTAACAATGGTAAGGATTGAAATCGCGCTAAAATAGTGTTCGTTATGAAAAAATATATGTACATTAACACCTTATGTAGCTTTTATATAATATAAATTTGACTATAAAATTTTTTTATCTTTTAATAATTTTATGCTTGAAAAGTTAGTCTTAAGATTCAATTATCTATACTATTCTTAAAAGCAAGGGAAATTCTGCAAGCCTTTTTCCCGCCCAAACAATTAGCTATTAATGGTAAGAACTTAAATAGCCTTGAAATATTTTTTTGGTAATATATATTACCTTTTATGCATTTAATTATAGAAAATATTGCTACATAATTACCTTATATAGCTTTTATTTAATGTCAATT